AGAACTACAATTTGATCTAGGAATCCCATAACTAGGCATCTACCCAAAAGAACAAAAGATATTCTATAAAAAATACATCTGCACTAGAATGTTTATAGCAGCACAAATCACAATTGCAAAGATGTGGAAACAACCCAAGTGCCCATCAATACATGAGTAGATTAATAAAATGTGATCTATATATACCATGGAGTTCTACTCAGCTACAAAAAAACAGTGGTGGTCTAGCACTTCTTGTATTATCCTGGATAGCACTGGAACTCATTCTACCAAGTGAAGTATCCCAAGAGGGGAAAAACAAGCACTGGATTTACACATCATCAGTTAAGTGCATATATAGTAATAACATTCACTGGGTGTTGGGGAGATGGGAGGGGTGAGGAGGGGGAAAGGGGATGGGGATATATACACATAATGGGTGCAGTGCACACTGTCTGGGGGATGGGCACACTTGAAGCTCTGACTTTGGTGGGGCAAGGGCAATATACATAACCTAAACATTTGAACTCTTGTAATATGCTGTAATAAAAAAATTTAAAAATATCAAAAATGAAAATATAAGTTGCTACAGCCTTCCTAGAGTGGACTTCGATAAAAACTATTAAAATTACAAACTTATTTCCTTTTGATTAAGGCTATCCTGCATGGATTGCTTCTGAGGCCTTCATTTTAGGGTAGTTTTCTGAGCCTCATCCACATGACATCACCTGAATAAAGTGCAAAAAACCTTCAACACCAATTCCTAGCACTCAGACAATGACACAAAGTTGTAACATGTTTGTGTGTGTGTTTTTACATGACTATCAAGATTAAACTGTTTTAAAAACAATCTAAATAGTCTCAAAACATTTTCCAACTTGGATGTAAACTTGAGTACATGTACTTCCAAAGAGTAAGACTGTTTTGATATTCTCTTTGGATTTTAATAACCATTTTGTTTATCTTAAATTACTATATAATAATTAACAGCTTAGGGATTATTTTTATTATTTATTTTTTCCCTAGGCAAAAACTTTGCTATGGCAACCATAATGTACACATAGCCAGATAGTTTACAAAGAGTAGGACACATCTAGAGTGGGCAAGACCAAAGGGAAAATTAAAGCTTCCAATTTAACCTCTTGTAACTACAATTTCTAGGACAGCTCTGAATCCATAACAGTACTGTATCAGATTATAGAAATAGAGATTATAGAAAGAGTGAGTTAGAAATATGTTTTATGTGAATTTTTCCACAAACATTGAAATCAGTGGAAGAAATTACACCTACAACTAGGGTTAAAAGACTGAAATCAAAATATCTTCATAAACCTTTAACCATAAGTTTCGGTTTTTGTGTTCCTGTTTACTTCATGTTTTACTTATTCTAATTTACTGACACTTATTTTTTTGTTGTTGTTTAGACATGTCTACATATATACATAATTGGGAAATTTAAAGCTAAACATGTGGGAATTTTTGTTTATAAATCAGGAGATTTAGCTATTATCACTAAACCAACAATATTAAATTTACCTTACTTATCAAAAATCATACAAACATAGATCATTTTGATTTTTGGTTGGGTTTATAGTTTTGTAGTCTTTGTATGAAGCCCTGATACCTTAAGAACAAAAAAATTTCCAGTAAAACCCAGACAAAAAATGTATGTTAATAATTTGAAAACACTTTTATTCTTACTTTTTCAAAAATCCTTTTTTTTTTCTTTTTAACAACCCTGTTTATTTACCAAAGATTACTAAATTCATGTGAACCAGAAAAGAATTTGGGTTTGCTTAATTAATTTGTGAGTGCTCCCTTATTTTTTAAGCCATGTCTGGAACCATGTAGGAATAAACATATGTACATACACAATGTACATACACAAAGTATATCTAAATATGTATACTCTCATGCACACACACAAAGCTCCAGTAGCTTTTACCTCAGAACTCTAGTCATGAGATATTAATAGTAATACAGACTCACTAGTTTACAAAGGACAGCTGGACCCAAATTTTCTTCTGACAAAACTGGAACTTGTTTACATGGCTAAACTTTAGTTGCCCTGATAGGTAGTAACCTAATTATGCCTATGAAGCAAAGTTTTGAGTAGTTTTCACAGCAGTTTGATTTTAAAAACCTCTTTTATTCCCTTTAGCTTAAAAATGAGTTTTTGATGTTTACATTTTAGCTAGAGCTGGCTGCAAGATCTCTAAGTAGCCTTTAATTAGTAATGCCATAAACATTGAGTTTACCTCAACATCATAGAAAAAGTTAGCAGGTTCAGACTAGGCAGAAAAAGAAAATGGAGAGACAGCTCAGAATAAACCAGGCCCATCAAACAACAGCAGGAGGTCTGGGTCTCAGGAGGACTTAAAAATTCTGTACAAGGACAAGCTCAGAGTCAGGGGCTCAAGGGGGCCATACTCGTACCTAATGCTGAGTTCGGGCAAACTTCTTTGGGAGGTCTTGAGTCTTCTCTGAGCCTCACATCTGTACACCATCTTGTCAACAGAAAAGACCCAAATTCTGTAAAATAATTTAAAGAGGTCTATTCTGAGCTGAATATGTGTGAGCGTGGCCTGGAGAACCACGCCCAAAAAGCTTTGAGTAAGTAGATTCCCTGTGGCTGGGTTACAGTTCAGTTTTATGCATTTCAGGGGACAGGAATTAGATGTAAAGTCAGAAATCAATACATGGAAGGTGTGCATTGGTTTGACCCAAAAAGGTAGGACATCTGGAAGTGGAGGATTACAGATTATAGGTGGGTTTAAAGATTCTATGATTTGTAATTGGTTAAAGAAACAAGGCTTTGTCTAAATGTTTTAAGATAGGTAAGTTTATTGCTCATGGACAAGTCACTGAACACATACTAAAATTCTGTTAAGTAAATTGAGGACCTGCAGGTGTGGTTTAAGCCTTGTCTTGCATAACCTGAGGCCTGTTAACAAGTTATAAAGGATATCACCAAGAATGGAAGCGGGTATGACAAGGCGTATCTGATCTCTCTTCTCATGGCCAGCAACGCAGCTTTCGTGTATTTCTGGCATCCTCTTGGCCAAGAGGGGGTCCATTCAGTAAGCTGGGGGGCTTGAGATTTTATTTAGTTCACAGAAGAATTTTTTTTGTCTTTCTTTTTTATTCTAATGGAATTACAATGACTAAAACTGATATAGTTGAGGTACACAGCTACTTAATAATTTTGGCATTATAAGCAGGATACCATGTAATTTACCACCCAAACCAGAACACTTTTGAAAGTGAAAGAGCATTATTAATAATCAATCTACACAAATATGGCTAAAAAGCCCTGGCACCGGCAAACTTTTATGCCATGTAACAGTTGTTTTGAATTTACCTAGGTATTTTGGGGGAGGGGGGTGGAGAAGTGGAAGAGGTAGTGAAGGGAAGTAACAGTGTTCTATAACTTTATTTCAAGTAACTCTGTGGTGAGAGTGTTTGAGAAAGGAGGTAACAGTTACTTGCCCAGTAAGAAATACATTTAATTCTCTTCTGTAAAATAGATGTACAACTGAGAATTTTACAGAGGAAGAAACCAGGGCACACAGAGACTTATTTACCAAGCAAATTAGAGAAGAATTAAGAGCAAGATTCTCTCTCCCAATGTCAGAGCTTTGAATACATCAAAGCATCCAGTATACTTATTACCACCATTAACAATTTCACTGATCCTTGGCAAATTGCATTAAATGGCTAAGTTTTTCACAACTACATGAAGAAAAATTTGAACTAATTGACTTTTATCATTTTTACTGGCTTCAAACACTTGCCATCTTACAGAGTTATGAGTGTAAAGACTTTGGTTCAGAAGGTTAATTTTTATTAATAATAACAAGCAAAGTGATTTGACATTGCTCTTCTCAACTCATTGACATGTTTATATGATTATGTTAAGTGCCCTTTGAATACTTGGTAAAGAACTTGAAAATCACAATACTTTACTTTGGTCCTAACATTATCACTATGATTTACATTTATGGTTTTTTCACCTCATGCTTTTGTTTTCAATTTATGCATGTATATACAATATCAAAAGAAATACATATTGGTATATTATATAATGTGTCATTATATTAAAATGACATCTCATAATGTACATCACATAAGCTAATGCCTAGATATAGAGAAGACCTAAGAATATTTGTTCAGCATATAATAATTTTATAAATAAATGAGGTACTAAAATGATGTGTGTGTGTCTGTGTATGTAATGAAGAAAGAAGATAAAAACCCATGTCTCTCTAACTCCAGAAAAATATTTTTACTTTGTTGATAGATAGCCTGGCTCACAGTATTAAACCTGAAAATATTTCAAATACATTAACAAAAATACTATCTTTCACAATTTTCTTCAGTTATAGAAAACTATATCAAAAATTACTAGAAAATATATTGAATAATAGAAATTCCTGTGGGAATTAATTTTGTATGTATGCTATTAAAGCAAAGTTTCACCAAGATTTGCAAATTTATTAAAATCTATATAACAAAATTAAAATAATTCATGAATTGCAGTCATGTGTTCAAGTGTATAGATATCTAAAATTCAAAATATTATAGCTCTTATAAAATATCTAAGGAGTCCTTGGCATTGCCTTTCAGCTACACTTTGGATAAATTGCCATGAGTGACAAATTGAGTTTGAATTATCTATTATATATATAATATATGCATACACACACGCATACCCTGTCATTTAACTTAGGCAGACTTCATGATATTATCGTAGCTGACATACAATTAAATGGCAGAACATGTATTTGAGCCTAGATCTATTTGGCACCATAATTACTTTCACTCATCATTCTGTACAATAAGCAAAATTAAGTTTTGCCAAGAATAGACACTTTCTATGAGGATATTTTAAAAATGCACCCACAACTGTCTTCATTAAATAATTCTTCATGTGTATTTAAATAAATTTGTGACTTAAATTTTTAAATATGTCAAAGTAATATATATGGCTAATAGGGTTTTTCCTTTTTTGTGTGTTTCAGATGCAGCTGTTCCCTTGGTTATATCGGCACATTCTGTATTGTCAATCTTGAATATTGCTTAGGAAACCAGAGTACATCAGTGCATGCCCTCTGCCTGGCCCATTTGCACAATTGTAACTGTAGCTATCTGCAAAGACATGAAAGAAACATCTGTGAAATCGAAATTGAAGATTGTAAATCTGTGCCCTGCAAAAATGAAGCAACCAATATACATTTAAGTGGATATTTTTTCTGCAAGTGTGTCCCAGGATTTACAGGCAAGTTTTTCCTGAGAAATTAAATTCTCCACTGGATAATATTGTTAATACATTTATTTGACGTATCTCAAATGTGTCTAATGATTGTTATCGTAACCTGCTTTCTCATTTGGTGAAGTAAAAAATGCCTTCAGTTGAATAATAGGATTGCTCCTTTGGGCAATTTAATCTCTGACTACACAACATTGCTTATGTAAATGAGGCTAATAAGGCCAGGCTGAAGCATTGGGAATATGATAGTATATGTCAAAGATCTGAAGAGAAAAACAGGCAGCCGTAACCTCCCAATAATTCTGCCTAAACAGCTTCAGTACTGCACTTCAACTTTCTGTTTGGCTGTGTAAGCACAGTGAGTGGCTTTTTTTTTTTTTTTTTTTTTTTTTAGTATAAGAATAAACCTTTGACTTTGGTATTGTCTAGGTCATTTTGATACCCTGTAATAAGATTTGAAAAATAAAGCCACAAACCTACTTTATCCTGCGTAAAGTCATAGAGGAAAAGATTCACAGTGTAGAATAAAGCAGCTTTCAACACTTAGTATTAGAAATTAAGCATTCAAATTTATTTTACTTTAGGTTTTATGCTTGGTGTTACATTGAAATGATTATTTATAATAATTTCAAAACTTCATTATTATCATTGCCTTATATAATAAAAAGCAGTATAGTGGCTGTACAGGAAGAAAATAATATTGTCACTTATAAATCACACTTAAATAAAATAATTTTTAAAAGTTTTATCCAGTTTGATATTCCATTATATTAACCAGACCCAATTCTGAAAGTTATTTGGATTTCCATCTTAAAATGAAAAATATTTTTCCTATTTAGCATTTAATGTAAAATGCTGGAAGTTTTGGAAGCAATTTAAAAAGATAAGTTCCAAAAACGGAAATGGTGATATCATTGGAATAAATGTATGGCCACATAGATTAGCTTTTTTAAAGGCAGAAATACATTTGAGTGCAAAAATTCTGGTAAGCTTGCTAAAATGTTGGTACCATTACTTCACATTCAAATATGTTCTAAGTAAAAATAAAATAGCATAAAACACGCCAGTATTTTTTAAATAAGTGTCTTAGAAAATATATTTATATAACTATTTTAATAAGAGAATATCTTCCAAAAATCAGTAAATATATAGTTAAGTATCAATTATACACAAAATAGAATAAAGCTGTGCCAACCTTTTTGGCACCAAGGACTAGTTTCATGGAAGACAATTTTTCCATGGACTGGGGTGGGGGATGGTTTGGGGATGATTCAAGGGCATTACATTTATTGTACAGTGAAACCTCTCTGCTAATGATAGTCTGTATTTGCAGCCACTCCCCAGCGCTAGCATCCCTGCCTCAGCTCCACCTCACATCATCAGGCATTAGAGTCCCATAAGGCATGCACTACCAAGACCCCTCACACGTGCAGTTTACGGTAGGGTTCAAACTCTATAAGAATCCAATGCTGCTGCTGATCTGACAGGAGATGGAGCTTATGTGGTGATGCAAGGACTTGGGAGCAGCTGTAAATACAGATGAAGCTTCACTCCTTCTCCCACTGCTCAGCTCCTGCTGTGCAGCCCAGTTTCTAATAGGCTAGGGACCCGTACAGGTTCACAGCCCAGGGGTTGGGGATCATGGGAATAAAGAATGAATTTTACTCTTCATAATAACGTTACTAATAAAAAATAGCACTTGATATTTGATGCATAGTCTGTTTGCATGGATATATGCATATGTGTATTTGTGCACATAATCAATGAACAGTCTATCATGTTATATATCAATTATATGTTAGTTGACTAATTATATATTAGTATACATATATCAATTGTATATTAGTTGATTAGTTGATTTTTAATATGTATTTTATATATATATATACTATTCATATTGTTATGCCACATATATACATAATACCATTGGTACATAGTATAAAATTGATATGAGCCATTTCCCCAGCTGCAGATTAAAAATAGGATTAGTTTTCCTTTATTTTTCAAATTAAACCCAGCATAAGCCTCCAGAGCCCATGTTATCATCAAGGCCTATATCTTCTATAGGTACTTTTTCTTTCCAGTGAATTGTAAAAAATATATATATATATTGTGGGTTTCCACAAAATGGTTCAAAATGTTCAGTCCTATTTTTAAACCTCTCACACCATGATATGTAAAAGGACTGATCTGTCTAAATTTTTCAAGGTATGTGAATTTAATCCCACTGAAAGCAGAAAATTTTAGAAGCAGTTTAAAATCGATGCCCCTCTTCCTCTCTGCTTCCTCCTTCCTCCTTCCTTCCCTATATCTCGTTCCTTCCCTCTATCAGTTTTATCTCCCTCATCTGGAGTATTCTCTGACTGCCCCCTTTCTACCTGGTTTCTCTCCTCTTCATATAATCCTTTCCTGCCCTTTCCCCTTTCCATTTGATTTCTCCCTGCCCTCTTTTTCCCTCCTCTATCTACATACTCAGGTGTTTTTCTACAGAAATGTGTTAACGTGTTTTAAAAGAATTTTACCATGCCTTTCATATCAGGTGCAATCACCTTTTTCTCTAATCCTCATCACCTTTTGGGGGAATTTTAGCATGATCATAAAATTTCCAGATTAAATATTAGTCTCTGAATCTCCAGAACAGTGGATCACCAACTTCATGAGAATCACCTGGAGATCTTGTTATAAACCAGGTTGTTGGCCCCACCTCCAGAGTCTCCTGTTCAATAGCTCCAGGGTCTGGTAGGTCTGGGGTGAGGCTTATGCTGCTGGTCTGTGAACCACAATGAGCAAAACTGTTCTAAACCCAGTAAGTTATATTAATGAAGAGAGCTTGTGTGGGTCCTAAAACATAAAATTCGCTTTTGAGTGTGAACTACCATTCAGCACAGCTTGAGGAAGGCACTAGTCCAGTCTTCTCTGCAGGAGACAACTAACCTCTGGAGTAAGAAGCTGATACATGTACATGGTAAGGCCAAATACTTGGGTGCATCCTACATGATTTAAGTCTGATTCCAATGCTATTATCTGTAATTCTCCCAAAGACTTTACACTTTGGCAATAATGACAATGGATGTTTTTCAAGCTATAGCCTTTTTTGCCATTCCTATGTTATCCATATCTATATTTTAGTGATGAATTCAAAAGTTTCTTTTTTTTTTTTTAGTTAATTTTCTTCGCTGTCCTTCTGACACTTTCAGCACTATTGTTTTCTAAAATTCTTTATGGTCAAAATAAGAGTTCTCAAGTGGTAGGCTAAATTCTCATATAGGTCAATGTTTGTCTTTATTTCAAAGACAAACATTGGGTTTCTCTTGCTCCTTGACACAAGGAACTACATTTTCCTTTTACTTTTCTTATAGTTGTTACTTTTCTTGTTACTTTTCTTATAAATGAAAGAGGTCTAGAAAACTCATTCAACGAGTAGGAGGATCCAGGTTGGTATAGACAACTAGGTCCAATCTTTCCCTTTTTAAGATGAGCCTGAGCTAAGCCTCCTTGATATATCCTCTCCTTTTTATCTAATTTCCATACTGCTATCCTAAAGCAAACTCCTTTTCTGCTACAGTATTATATGTTGTAAATTTGACTTGCAAAGCTCTATGGTTTTCTGTTCTCCCAAATGCCAGCTACACAGCTTTCTTCTCTTTTTAGGTCTAAGTTACCTTGGTAATACAAAAATTTTCAAATTCCAGGAATAAAAATTTTTCATAAACTGCTCTTTTTGCCTATCTGTTAACTTTTATTCTTACAGCAATTCAGTAGTATGTTTCAACCAAGAGTGTGCTTCAGCTGGAACCCAGCTCTCAGTTATGCCGAATTTTCATTGTTCTAATGTATTAATTTATTCATTTGTCTGATGTTACTTTTTCCTTTGTTTTTCATTGGGGATTTTAATTCACATTTATTTCATGCAATTCATTTATATGTGGGTTTAAATCCTAATATATGCCTACACTATTTGTTTTTTCCATTTGTTTAATCCATTCTATGTTATATTTTCTCTTTTTTTATATTCCACATACTTTTATTAATTTTTAAGTGTTTACCCTAGGGACTGTAACATTTGTAATTCACTTACCATACCACATCCCAGACAATGCAATGTTTTAAACATTTTAATGACATTTAATCCCCTTCAGACATATATGCATATTTTATACATATATATATATATTTCATAGATATTTAAAACTGCACAAGATGCTATTTTCTCATTTTATATAGCCAATATTTCTTTAGACTTCCATTGTTCCCTTTTATATTGCTCTTATTTCCAAGCTTCCAAATAATGTCTTTCACCATATATATTATAATCACCATTTAGCATATCCTTTTAAGCAGTTTTGTGATGAATTTCCCATTTATTGAATATCTTATTATTTCACCTTTACACCTGAAAGATATTTTATAGTAGATCAATAAATTAGTCAAATGAATGCAAGAACTTTACCTAAATTTAAATGTATTGGAAGTAATGTACAAAGATGTATGTATTTTGTGACTGTGCATATGTGTATATATACATACGTATGGGTATGTTTGTATCCATCTATGTCTCTGGTATTGCTGGTCCTATAATAACTGTGACTACAAGTTATCAGTCCCTATATTTTTTTAGAGGACACCCTGGCACAGAGAATTTAACAAAATGCTCAGACAGCTAATATATCAAATATATCCCATAATTTATACCACAACTTGAGCCATTCATTTCAGGTCCTTACCTATAGGATTCCCTCATAAATAAGTTTGTCATCTGCTACAGGTCATGTATTCTGATTATGTTCTGAAGAACAGGAAATGGAGGGGGGTTAAAATATTTAATAAATCAAAAATTCTAATCTATTAAGATAATTATTCTATTGCTACATAAATTTCATTTTATTTAGTAATTAATACATTCTTAGGCCTATTAATAGAATACTACTGTGTTCAGTGTCTGATGAAGCACTGATAAAATCAAAGGAATAAAGATGAGAATTTTATTTTTACCTACTTTGATCCCTGGC